GATGAGAAAAAAATAAGAAGGAACTTTTCGGGACGAGACTCCGCCGCCACGAGGCGGAACCTTGGCAGATCCAATCTAGAGCTCCGGCAGAGCTGTTCTGCCGGGGAAACTTCCCTCCGGGAGGGGGAAATCATCACCATTGTCATCACCAATGCTCCTCTCATCGGGAGAGGGCAATCTCCATCAACATCTTCACCAGCACCATCTCATCTCCAAACCCTAGTTCATCTCTTGTATCCAATTCTTGTCTCAAAGTCCGGGATTGTTGCTAGTAGGTTGCTAGTAGTGTTGATTACTCCTTGTAGTTGATGCTAGTTGGTTTAATTGGTGGAAGATCATATGTTCAGATCCTATATGCATATTATTACCCCTCTAATTATGAATATTAATATGCTTTGTGAGTAATTACGTTTGTTCCTGAGGACAAGGGAGAAGTCTTGCTATGAGTAGTCATGTGAATTTGGTATTTGTTTGATATTTTGATAAGATGTATGTTGTCTAGCCTCTAGTGGTTTGAGAAATATGTAGACATGACCGACACAAATCTCCGGTCAATAACCAATAGTGGAACCTGGATGCTCATATTGGTTCCTACATATTCTTTGAAGATCTTTATCGGTCAAACCGCATAACAACATACGTTATTCCCTTTGTCATCGTTGTGTTACTTACCCGAGATTCGATCGTCAGTATCATCATACCTAGTTCAATCTCGTTACCGGCAAGTCTACTCGTTCCGTAGTGCATCATCCCGTAATTAACTCATTAGTCACTTTGCTTGCACGACTTATAGTGATGTGCATTACCGAGAGGGCCCAGAGATACCTCTCCGATACCGGAGTGACAAATCCTAATCTCGATCTATGCCAACTCAACAAACACCTTCGGAGACACCTGTAGAGCATCTTTATAATCACCCAATTATGTTGTGACGTTTGATAGCACACAAGGTGTTCCTCCGGTATTCGGGAGTTGCATAATCTCATAGTCACAGGAATATGTATAAGTCATGAAGAAAGCAATAGCAATAAAAATAAACGATCATTATGCTAAGCTAATGAATGGGTCTTCTCCATCACATCATTCTCTAATGATGTGATCTCGTTCATCAAATGACAACACATGTCTATGGTCAGGAAACATAACCATTTTTGATTAACGAGCTAGTCAAGTAGAGGCATACTAGGGACACTCTATTTTGTTTATGTATTCACACATGTACTAAGTTTCCAGTTAATAAAATTCTAGCATGAATAATAAACATTTATCATGATATAAAAAAATATAAATAACAACTTTATTACTGCCTCTAGGGCATATTTCCTTCAGGATGATGCGGGTCTCCTGTGGCTCCATGATGATGCGCGTGTGGCATTGGGTGGCCAGGCAGGGCGACGGCAGTGAGGTAGCGGACGGCGGAGGCGTAAGAGCGGGAAGGGCGTCGGGTGAAACTTCACTCCTGCCAAGCCCGAGCAGGTCTTGCATATGCGCAAACCCAGGCCGCCAATACTCTACATATGCGGTGCGGCAGGCCCATTTTTAAGTTTACTGTGAAAAATTGAGAACACTCGAGTTTACAGTATCTGTTCTGGTCATTTTTATGCCTCCAAAACTCTAAACCGGTAGTAAGTATTCAATACATCTCCTTTTACGATATCTGCTAGAGTTGCACTTATAGCGAGACGCAAGCGTCTTGCCTCACGTGTCGCTAATGATGGGCGGGTCTCTACTTTTAATGGAGCAGTTGGTGAATAGTCTCCGTGATTTATTTTCGCTGGGGTTTTTTCGTCTCTCCTCCCACCACCCCCTCCCATCCTGGTCCATCGGTTTATTTTTCTCTCCACTCTTTATTACAACCAAAACTTTCCTAACATATAACAAATCATGGATCTAACTTCCTTAAATTATGCAAATCAATCGATTCCTTTTATTGGTTCAATTTGTCTTAGGAAACAAATAACAGATTTTCAGGAAACAAATAATATGTTTTATTCTAACTTTCCTAACTTATCTAAATCAATCGATTTCTCTCATTACTGAAATTTGTTTTAGAAAACAAATAACAGACACGTCACAAACTTTCCTCCTAATAAATTGTTTCTTAACATTTCCAAACTTTCCTAATCAGACACGTCACAAACGGGCAGGTACTGATATCACGTTATCAAACAATAAAACCCCATTTGCATAGAAATCAGTTCAAAATTCTAACTTTCCTAATTTTTTACCTTTTCTTGATAACAACCAATATTTCCTATGTTTTCCACCTATAGAAGGAAATCACCCCTCCATCGATATTAGCATTTTTTTGAAATGGGATCTCCAGGTTATGATTTTTTGCGATTCTTTCCAATTGTGACATCTCCTTCCGCTCCGGCTCCTTCTCGTAGTTGGTGAATAGTCTCCACGGTTTATTTTCGCTGGTTTAATTTCGCTGGGTTTTTTCGTCTCTCCTCCCACCACCCCCTCCCACCCTGGTCCATCGGTTTATTTTTCTCTCCACTCTTTATTACAACCAGAACTTTCCTAACGTATAACAAATCACGGATCTAACTTCCTTAAATTATGCAAATTAATTGATTCCTTTTATTGGTTCAATTTGTCTTAGGAAACAAATAACAGATTTGTAGGAAACAAATAATATATTTTAATCTAACTTTCCTAACTTATCTAAATCAATCGATTTCTCTCATTAGTGAAATTTGTTTTAGTAAACAAATAACAAACACGTCACAAACTTTCCTCCCAATAAATAGTTTCTTAACATTTGCAAACTTTCCTAATCAGACACGTCACAAACGGGCAGGTACTGATATCACGTTACCAAACAGTAAAACCCCATTTGCATAGAAATCAGTTGAAAATCCTAACTTTCCTAATTTTTTACCTTTCCTTGATAACAACAAATATTTCCTATGTTTTCCACCTATAGAAGGAAATCACCCCTCCATCGATATTAGCATTTTTTGGAATTAGATCTCCAGGTTATGATTTTTTTTGCGATTCTTTCCAATTGTGACCTCTCCTTCCGCTCTGGCTCCTTCTCGCATAAACACCTCCACCACAGCCAGCTGACGCCACCCCAGACCCCCTGCCTCTCCACACCTTCTTCGCCACCTCCTCCTCATACTCCATTGACAATCCCTCCGCCATGTTTGTCCATGGCGGTGTCGAGGACATGGCGCAACAGCGTACCAGCGATAGAGCAGCGCATAGTAGCAGGAAGCAGCACGCAGCAGGCGAGGTAACGGCCGGCGTGGCTGAGGGGGCGGCCGACAAAAGATGGTCATGACAGGAGGGGGCGCGAGGCAGGGGCGCGACTGCGGGGCGAGCGAAGGGATAGGAGGCAGCAGACGGGGCGAGCACAGCTAGCGAGAGTGTGGCGCATGGCTAGGGTGTGCGTCGCGCGTGTCACAGTGGTGCGGTGGCTGCGGCGAGCGCGACGGCAGTGGCGGGCGCAATCGACGCGGTGTGGCACAGGCGTGGGCATGGAGAGGGAGTGGCCCCGCGGGCGCGGAAGAAGAGCATCAGGCTCGGGCATGGGTGCGCATAGGAGCAGGCATGTGCCACGGGGTCAATCTGAGGAGCTCGGTGGCTACCCCTGCAATGGCCATGGCGGACGACGGTTCTCGGCCATGGCGAAATACCTAACGCGAGCAAACGAGAGGGGAAACAGGGGAAAGGCAAGAGGAGATCACGACGGTGTCAATGGCGCCCTAGGGGAAGACAGGGGAGCTCGGGGCGGCGTGGATCAAACGACAATGTTACGGTGGCCGAAGGTTGAGGAAGACAGCAACGACGTCGATGCGGGGGGTGCTGGACTTGATCTCGTTGGCTCAGACGAAGTAGCGGAGGAGTTTGGAGCTCCTCGGCAAGCTTCTAGCCTGCAGGGAGAGCAGTGGCTGTGTGGACGGGGTCGGTCATGGTGGCCGTGGCGTCTGACTTTGTCCAGATCGACGGGATCGAGCGAGCCAGGAGGAGAAGTGGATCTGGGAGGGGGCATAGAGGAGTGAGGCCATGGGGGCAGGGGAGGCAGGGCGTCACCCTTATCCATTCCCCTTCGATGCCGGCGAGGTGGTCGGGCGGGAGCTCGGCTCTGTAGCGACGCGGCTCGGGGAAATATAAGTTGTGGTGGCAAATATGATACACATAATCCATATTGTTATGCACTAACGCGTGTGCGTGTAAAATAGATGAATTATGATCCCGTACCCAATAAGATGGATATGTGTGTGTTAGAGAGAGAGAGAGGGAGAGGGGGAGAGAGAGCGAGGAAGAAGGAGGGAGAGAGAGTGTGTGTGTGAGAATTGGCCAATGTCACTTGATATGTATGAGAATATTAAATATAATATTAACATAACTGATATTGAACTCTTAAAGTTAATGTGGCCCCGTTGCAACGCACGGACGTTTTTCTAGTCCAAGTAGTGACCTGTAGTTTAGCTTATTTTTCTTCTCTGTTTTTTCATTCTTTCACTTTTTTTCCTTTTGTTACTATTTTCAATAACATTCTAAATACATATATTCCAAAAATTAAATTTGCTTAAAATAAAAAAATAACTACGAATTTGAGACATGAAACAATTGTTACTATAATTAAAAAATGCTGATAGCATTGGAAAAAACATTGATATTTAAAATGTTCACACATTTCAAAAACAAGATAAGTAAAATTTTAAGAAAATTTTTATACAATGTAAAAAAGTGATAGTGTACTGCAAAAAAGTTTTTCATACCATTCAAAAAATGTAAAAAGTGATGATAGCATTTACCACTCAGCTCCAGTGGCCCAGGCGTGCAAGGCCGACTTTACCACCAGAAGCAACTAGCCCAGCAAAATGATGAGAGCCTGCTACAGTTAGGCCAGCCCAGCCCAACACAGCGCGCGAATAGATAAGGCCTCCGGCGCCGCTCTCAATCGGCCTCGGCTCTCCATTCTCACTCCTTATCCTCACTCCAGCAGAACGCTCGTCCCTGCACCAACACCGCAGCAGCTCACCATGGTCAGCGAGGAGACGCCGGTGGCCACCGAGCCGGAGCTGGAGAGCGGCGACGCGGCACCGGAGGTCGTCAAGGCCGAGGAGCCCGCGGAGGACGGCGCGCCCGTCGTCGAGGACGTCAAGGAGGGCGACGGTGATGAAGACGAGGAGGAGGACGAGGATGATGACGAGGACGACGAGGATGAAGACGGTAACCATCTCCTACTCCCTTTTGCATCTCCACCTTGTTCTATCTTCTTTCAGATACACCATGTGACGGTGTGGGTTCGCTTGTTGGTAGACAGTTCGTGCAACGTGCAAGCGCCTCAGAAATTGCTTTTGTGCACTGTAATCTGGCTGGGTTTTTAAACTAGCTATCGGAACTGAGTGGTCACGTAACGTTGGATTAGTTATTGACTTATTGGTACGTAGTGGTAGTTGAACTAGATTTGCAGCTTGGTGCGCCTTCAGTTCGCTTTAGTGTTTGTAGTCGTCGCTAGGTGATCTAGAAATCTAGATGTAATTTTTATTATTTCGGATGTTTGTTGTATTGCCATGATGATGATGAAGAATAGAGCAGAAGCTTTTCAAAAACAAAAGAGTACGCACGTCTGACTTGCAATTTTGATGTGCGTGAAGGCGAGCTGGGTGTGGCCGGGAGCGAGGGGTCGAAGCAGAGCCGGAGCGAGAAGAAGAGCCGCAAGGCCATGATGAAGCTCGGGATGAAGCCCGTCACCGGCGTCAGCAGGATTACCATCAAGAGAGCCAAGAACGTAAGAAGCAACTCTTCTATGTATGTGAAATTGTTCAGGCTAATTCATGCATGTTGTTAATTAAATGTTGGGCTTCAGATCCTGTTCGTGGTGTCGAAGCCGGACGTGTTCAAGAGCCCGACGTCGGAGACGTACGTGATCTTCGGGGAGGCCAAGATCGAGGACCTGAGCTCGCAGCTGCAGGCGCAGGCCGCGCAGCAGTTCAGGATGCAGGACCTGAGCAAGGCGATGAGGCCCGACGCGGCGGCGGCGGGGGCCGGGGCGCCCGCCGACGAGGAGGAGGTGGTGGACGAGACCGGCATCGAGGCCCGCGACATCGACCTCGTCATGACGCAGGCCAGCGTGTCCCGCGCCAAGGCCGTCAAGGCCCTCAAGGCGCACGACGGCGACATCGTCAGCGCCATCATGGAGCTCACCGCCTAGTCTTTTCCTCGCTTCCTTTCTCCAAGTCCGGCCGGGATGTTTCCTGCCGGAGTATCGTATCATCATGTGCCCGTGTGTTTTGCATCCCTTTTATCTCTACCAATCGTACGTGGACGTTGCACCAGATGTTGTCAGTTTCGAGATATGTTAGTGTTCCTCTTACAATTGGTCAATTGAAATCTAGTTTCAGTATCATGGCCGGTTTGCCTTGGAATGGAGTTCCTATGGTTAGCAGGTGGGCATTGGTCTTTAATTAATTTCTACTGCGACCAGCAATCGTCTAGCAATATGAAAATGAACGCACCGAATAATCCATAGCATGACAGGGTAAGGGTAAATTCCACAGATTTCTATTGGATCAATCATCTAAGTTGCAGGTTTGCAAGTTACATTATACAGTACAATAGAATAAGAGGCCTTCACTTGTCTATCCTATATCAGACTACCCGTTCTGCTGTTGCAGACTCCTATTTATCCCGCCTCACCAGTAAATAAATCTCTAATGACATCCAGCGGCCTCAACTAGGTTGGTAAAAGTATCCTCTGCTCTCACTCATCAGCTCTGCCTGTCTATCTATCTTCTTATTTGCCAGAGCTGAAGAGCACTGAATGGTAATGAATCTATGATGTGTAAAAATGCCGAATGTCTCAACACCACCACAATGATCACCAACAACATTTCATAGCGCTATCACTTCTTACCGTCGGGCTTATCAGGGAAACTTCTATTCAGAAGCTCGAGGAGAAGCATGGCGGCAGAGTCCTTGGCCTTCTTCACGCTCGGCATCGGCTCCCCGATGCACTCGTCGGTCCATCCGCGATCGGATGTATTAACCCTAACCGCGTAGACAAATCTTTTAGCATGAGCAGGGCCGCCCTCATTTATGCACCTGTACTGTGGCATTGGCCACTGCCTTTTCAAGCAAGTGTCGTTCAGGTTCTGCCTGGTGAACCCAGCATTGCTCTTATCACCGGCCTTTTCGGTCTCTTTCTTTGCTGCGGTTTCCTTCTCCTTTAGGACCACTAGTGCGTTTCTCGCCGCCAACTTCTGTGCCATCTTCTTCTGTGGGTTTTGAGCTACACCAATCTGAACACCATCAACAAAGACTTCAACGGTAGCTACATTGCCTGCCCGGGATGCTTTGTATTCTAAGCCTTCTGCTTGTTGCTGGCACCGTTCTTGGAGCTCCCTAATTGGATGCATTGGAAGGGTCTCTGGCGTTACCAGAGGTTCGAGGAGCGGTTGGAATACCTGGTGCAAAATAGTGCAGTTTGTTTCAAGCTTCCTCCAGATTAGGTTGCTTTTCTATCAAGAAAGTTTCTCTAGAATATCTAAAATAAATACCTTCCAGACTGCCGAGGTGTCATACCCACTATCCAGGAATACTGCACCAGCAATAGACTCAATAATGTCTCCAAGAACTTTAGGAGCCTTGCAGTCCCCTAGTCCAAAAGAATTGAAACCTGATTTTGAAATCTCTTCTCGGACATCCTTCACGAACTCCCGAATCTTCAGAAGATTTAAAGAAAATAGTCAGCATTGCTTGAAACTTCAGTTCTATCAACAGTGTCTTGTTTCCTACTGCATAAAGAAAGAGTATGGCAAACCTGTTTTTCCAGTGCAGATGATCCATGGCGAAGATGTGTGTGCAGCTTACGCCTAACTGCAACCCTTGCAAAGTTTTCATTATTAACAGCTGCAGCTCTCAGGTCAGTCAAGCGACCAGGAGGTAGATCAGTATATGTAAAAAATAAATGCTTTGTGATGAGATGATCCAACACAGCATCACCAACAAATTCCAACCGCTGGTAACAGGAAACGCCAGAAGATGGCCTGGATGCATGCGTTATAGCCTCAATAAGAAAACCTTTATTCTGGAATTTCATACCCAAGATGCCTTCCAATATCTCAAACTCGATGCCTTTCAATATGCTCTCAGGTATATTATATGGCTTCGGGGGAGGGATCTCTTGAGGATCCAACTCGGCATGAATCCCAATCCACTTCATCAAGTGGTTTGCAGCAATTTTCCCTCCTGCTACATAATAGACCCCAATAAGTGCTTCAACGACATCTGCTAGAGTCTTGCTTGAGAGAACACGATAGCAGCTGGAATCTCCATCAATTTCACCCTCCTCTTGAATGTTATCTGTGTAGTCATCATCATAATCCTTCTGTAATTCATTACCAGGTATTGACTCCTCACCAAAGATGGACGGTTCAGATTCTCTTGTCTCCTCATCAAATACAGGCAGTACTCCTGGAGCTGCCCATCTTGATGGGGCAAACCGATCTGCTTGAATATACGACTGAAGAGTTTTATTCAGGGCAAATTGGTAGAGGACCATGTTACTGACCATCTGCTGCCGCATCCTTGTAAGCTGTCCCTCATGCTTCTGAGGATATTTTAGGAAAAGGAATCTACTCACAACCCATTTCAGGTATGCATCACCCAGTAACTCTGCTCTTTCATAGCAGAATGTTTCCTGGCATGATGCAGCAGTCAAGGCTTCTAATATCTGCCATGAACCAACAAGCTGTTAGTACGAATTAACAAACACATGATCTTGTTTATTTATTAAGAAAATCATTTGGCTCTTCTGCGGTGAGACGAGGGAGTATAAGGCAGTCTCTTGGAAAACATGCCAAATACCTACTACATTATAGATTGACTATGCTACCTCGTGAATGTTAGTTATTGTTTTGATGAATATTTACATTTGTGCCACCATTTATGATGACTTCCTATAAAAAAGGGGCAACCTGGTGCATGTAGCTCCCGCTTGCGCAGGGTCCAGGGAAGGGTCCGACCACTTTGGGTCTATAGTACGCAGCCTTTCCCTACATTTCTGTAAGAGGCTGTTTCCAGGACTTGAACCCATGACCTCATGGTCACAAGGCAGCAGCTTTACCACTGCGCCAAGGCTCCCCTTAGAACATGTAATCAATACCATTGTGTTACTCCATGTATCCCATCTCACTTTAGGTATCTCTAAATCATGTTCTATCAATTCTTATTGCAGGACCTACCAAAGCCAGATGCCACAATAAAGCTACATGCATCGTGCATCTCACGTGGTATTCATCAAACGTGACATCCAACTAGACGATAGGAATGTATTATAGGAAGGAGAGGAAATGTAAGGATCTAGTGTACCAAAGCATTCTACCAGGACGTGTTACAACATTTTCTTAAAGATTCAGGTTTGGGGCAATCAAAAATGTTGAGAGTACCTTAACTGCGGGAACAGGATAATCAATTGTTTCCTTCAATTGAACTGCAAGAAGCATACTCTCAACCCTTCGCATTATTGATGGCAACCTCTGAGCTCCACGAATAAGTGATCCAGGAAGTGGGTGCACAAGACAGAGTTCGGGAGGTAAATAGACATAGTATGTTTTGTCAACGTTCTCCGAAAAGTCACCTTCTCTAGCTGCAAAACAAGAGCCAATTACTCATCACTGCATGACCACAATACTCACATCTGGGTTCACAAAAATAGTGGCACAAAATTCGACATAAAAACCATCCAACTTGTGGTTATGCCATGAGAGTTTCTTTAATGAGTAAATATCAAGATTCGTTGGACATGTTCAGGATGGGACTCAGAAATACCTTCAGAATGCTCAAATCTAGGAGACAGAAGATTCTTGCAATAGGAAACACCACGTGCACGTATAAGAGGCTGTTTCTTATACACTAGCTCCACACCATATCTGAGATCAAATAGCACAATGAGTCACAATGTGCTGCCACAAAATTGCTTATATAAGACTAAAGTAAGGCAGGATTCTCTGAAATAAAAAGGGTACTAATCCTGCTTTTCAGCATTTAAGAAAATGTTGTCTTTACTTCTGCTTGTAGTAATCGGCATATGAGCTATATTCCAAAGGCCCCAGGTAGCCTTCCTTCCTAGGAAATGAATTTTCTGCATTCATGTTATAGCAAATACAGTCCACATAGAACCGCTTTCCTGAGTGGGCAGCAGTGACAACCATCCCAGAAAGGTCTTTAGCATCCCAGCATGAATCTGCCATGAACAACTTGCCTTGGTTCTGATACTCGCTTGAATACCCTCTATCACGAGAAGGAACTAATCCAGATGCTTTGACGATATCAAAGTCAGCAATGGCTCCTCTGATACCATAAGTCGGATGTGCCTTCTGTCCAAAAGCTGTTCCATTACGCAATTTTCCAAACCCATACTCTCTCTTTTCTCCACCGAGTGTCCTCTCATTGGTGCCTAGGTAGACATCTGGTCGTGCCTTCTGAAGTGGATTATTCCAGGCATCAGTATTCACAATGCTGTTGACTAAAGTCCAATCGATCTCTCTTAAAGCATCTGTACACTTCTCAGCTCCTACAGGGACAAAGAGGTATGCTTTTGCTGGATCCCAAGGTGTAGTTGAGGGATCAACATCAACATCAAGGACTATGCTCATGAGCCTAACATGAAAGCTCTTCAGCAGAACCAGCTGCGATCACAACAGTAGGGTATTAGCTACACTAACCCAAACGCTTAAATGAATATTTACTTGGAACTTCTCAAGCAGATCAACCTGACTTTCTGTAACTTCAATTGGTCCACGGAATACAAGAGATGCCTTTGTTATCATTGTCCTGGCAACAAAGAGATCCATTGGTGTCGATAAAACCTGAAAAAACAGAAGAAGAAAAAAAGGTTAGTTCACAGCATTCTGCTCAAGTTTCAGGATATTCCAGATGATGGAACATACCTCTGCATCCAGCTCACTGCCAAAAATAATAGAAAAATTCGAAAGCTGTGCAAGGGAAGGGTCCTTAGATGTCCCTACATCCACACAATTCACAGAATACATATACAACTTAACAAATTGAGTGCTTTGGCAGCCATCTCTTCCACATAAAATCCATTCTCCCTGTCACAGAAAAAAGATCCATCAGAATGAGATTGGGGGATAATCAAGGGTCGTGCCGGAGAGTGCAAATGCACTTTGTATGCAGAGAGATAATGAGCGA